TTAATGTTATTGGAGAAAAACAAACTTTTCAATTTTGCACATAGAAAGTGAACTGGAAATAAAAAAGTGGTTTTTGCATTCCGTTTTTGTTCCCTAAATTTTCCTTGCTCAATCAATGTATAAACTAGAAATAAAAAAGTGGTTTGCTAGGAAAAACAATTTTTTACCAAGTGGGAACACAATATGGTATGTGCTCATTTTTATTTGGTTACTTTTAAAGGAGAAAGGGTGAGAATGTAGCTCAGAAAATATATTGAGATTTGTAAAAAAAATAAATGGCTTATATTTTGAACTTTTTTGAGATGTGCTTATTCTTATACTCTATGATTTTGGTTTACAAACACAATTCATTGGGTTTTGCAGTGTGTGGAATGATGTACTACCGAAAAGCTCTCATGCTTCAAGCATATTTGGAAAGGGTGGCAGCTCAAGGTTATCATATACGAGATGAAGTTATTATGTTCTAATGTTCTTTTTCTCATTAGTCATTGCTGTGGTTGTTTACTAATAATACTCTGGTACATGCATCTTTAGATTCTGAGGCTGCAATTTCACAGAGCAAAGCAACTGATACCCAAGGTTTTGAGTTGTCTCTTGAAGCAAGAGCTCAAGTAGATCTCAAATTTACCTATGTAGTTACCTGCCAAATATATGGGAAACAGAAAGAGAAGCAAAAGCCTGAGGCTGCGGATATTGCATTACTAATGCAAAGGTGATCAAATGGCAATCTCTTTTATTTAGAAATTAATTGATGATAACCTCTTACCTTACACAGAAAGCCTAAGAGCATGTTCTCTTCATCTTATCTCATTAGTTTGATATATTAAGGTCTGATATGACTGAAATCTTTCTAGTCTAGTCTCATTTAATTCGAATTGAAGTTAAAATTGTATATATTTCTGATTTGGTGTGGTCTCATCTGAATTTTTCGATCATAATCTGATTCGAATACTAATAATCAATAAGTAATGCTACCTCCGTCCCGCTATATTCGTCCACTTTTGAGTTTTGGAACTGTTCATCTAAGCACTTTGACTCATCAAATTCTCTCAATGTGTAAGCCTAAATATAGTCATGTGTGATCTTGTTTGATTTGCCTTAACATATAGATTATTAATATATAATTTCTATAATTTTTTAATATGCAAATTACAAGATAAAATGGATTAAAGAAGTGTATTGGATGATGTATAAAAATGAAAGTGGACAAACATACTGGGACAGAGGGAGTAACTCTCATTCATCAATATCTGAGTTTCATTCATTGCGATCCATTTTTGTAGAAATGAAGCACTTCGAGTTGCTTTCATTGATGAGGTTCAGACATTGATTGAAGGAAAGGTGCACGAAGAATACTTCTCGAAACTTGTGAAGGCTGACATCAATGGGAAAGATAAGGTTTGTCCTTTTATTACTATTTTTTGTTATTACTCCTAGTTCTTTTACTTGACTAGGTGCCCATCTTTGTTGTTTTCTATAAACAAATTTAAAAGAGCTTGCATTTCTTCTATTTTTGACAAATTTAGAAGAACTTGCAAGGTGCGTTACTTTGCCACTCTACGCATGGTTTTTATGTTGTCCACTATTTGACCTTGGAAAGGGGTGACCGGAGTAAGCGATGATGCATCACGCCGACAGATCTGAGATTTAATGGATAAAATGGTAAATAGAAATTATCAATAAATATTTAATTAATTATTTAAATCCACTCTTGGAAAAAACATAACAAGTCCTATTTAGGGAATTTGTGGTTTTGTTTTGCTCCTTTCGATTCCCCATGTTCAGTTTCTTTTCATTTTTAATTTTTTAAATTTTCTTATTTATTTAACCTTTTTCGGGCGGGGGTGGGCCAAGGGATGGGGATGTTATGTTTGTTTCTGTTTTTTTACTCTGTAATTAATATAGAGTACATCACACTACATAGACTTGAAATATTCTTCCTTACCTTCGAATTTATCACTTTAGTTTTTACCTTCCTTTTAAGACCTTATCTAAATAATGTTTCTATTTACCCCTAGACTTATGTTTTCTTTTATTTTTATATTTTGATATGAACATTAATAAAAATATTGTTATCATTATTGTTAAGATTATGGCTATGATTATTATTATTACTATAATTATTATTATTATTATCATTTTTAATTTCCTATTACTAGTCTTATTCTATTTTAGTCAATATCCCTAAATGATAGGTGTCTTTTAAGGTGTTGCCCATTTGAAGTGAGTTCACGTTAATCGTGAATATCTGTTGTTCCATGGCATTTACAGAGTAATCATGAAACTATGAAAGAAAAGTCTGTCTAACTTGTATTTGAAATGATCATCAGGGTTCGTATGCATTATGGTAATCCAGATGTCTTTGATAGACTATTCCATATAACTAGGGGTGGTATCAGCAAAGCATCTTGCGTCATAAATATTAGTGAAGATATTTTTTCTGGTAAATTTACCTCACATTTAAGGGGATTTTGTTTCATAATTTAATGTTATTGTGTTTAATTTTAATCTTATGGGTGTAGAGTTTGGGAAATATACTATATTAACTGCGTGTTAATCCTTACTTAATGTTTTATATTTATATGCATGGCCTATAGTTAACATTTGTTGAGTTTATTTAAAACATTCCTAGTCAAATTGGAGCATATAAGTTACAGTTTACAAGTTACATAGACAATGTTTGCTACCAAAAAAACCATTTCGTATGTCTCAGAAAGACTTAAAACCCTGGATATCTCTTCCAATTAATCTACCGATTTTATGAAGAATGATGCACCTAGGCGTAATCTATTACATATTTACGTGGTGAGAAAAGATAACCATTCTTTCAACTTTAGATTTGTCCTTTCCATGAAATACAAGATGCTACTACCTAAGTTATCAGACGACATACAAGGTTGCTATCAGAAATCATAATACTTGTTTTGTTTCTATGCTAGTTAAGTATGCACATATTGTTATTTCTCTTCCTGGTATGTATGTCTTTTGCCTCTTCCACAGATATTTCTTGCTAAAGGATACTGCTATTGAGGGTAAAGAGCCCAGACTTTCGCAAGAGGAGCTATGGGACAGGATTTTAAGGGACGATTACATGAAATATACTGTTCAAGAGTGTTATTATACCCTCAAGTTAGTCCTCACATCTGTGTTGGATACTGAGGGTAAGAAGTAGTAAGTTGATGCCTTAAGGAAAATATTTCTGGCTTGCAAGTTATTTGGTCAGGAAGATTCATCTCTCTTCTTGTGCCATTGCAGGGTTGAGAGAATATATGACGAGATTCAGAGAAGCATAGCTAATAGGAGCATACTTGTTGATATTGAATTGAATAAGCTACCACTAAGGATTCAGAAAGTTACTGCACTGTTGGCAATACTGATTTGTATTTGAAGCATAGCTAATAGGAGCATACTCTATTTTTATGTGCTTGCAGTGTGTTCACACCATATTACTCTGAGACTGTCCTGTACAGTATGTCTGAACTCCTTAAAAGAAATGAAGACGGGATCTTTACTTTGTTTTACCTACAAAAGATATATCCAGGTATATAACTTTCGTATCTGATGTGAC